GTATTTGAACTCTAAAGTCAAACTTGCACATATGCTACATTCATTACATGTTAAGTGAATGTTTGTCCTCATTTACACGACAGTTAAACAGGACGTCTTACTTCAGTGGTTCCCTGTAAAATCCAGGATCGAATCTAAATCCTGCTTCTAACATATAAACTCTCCATGAGCAGCTCCATGTGACTTTACAGACATGGTACCGTATCATCCTAACAGAACCCTTCGCTCTCAGACTGCAGGTCTACTGGTGGGTCCAGAGTCTCCAGAACCAGAATGGGAGGTGGAGCCTTCAGCTATCAGCTCCTCTGTTGTGGATCAGCTCCCAGTCTGGGTTCTGGAGGCAGACACCCTCTGTGCTTTAAGGTCAGGATGAAAACGTTCCTCTGTGATGAAGCTGATAGTTAGAGCTGCTCAGGATCACCTGAACTGTCCCTCCGTGATGCTGCTGTAGCTTCAGACTGCCGGGGGACTCCCATGATGCACTGGGCTCCTCTCCTCTGGATCTGGAGCTTCACGTCTCTGATCTACAGTTTCTGTTCTCACCGACTTCCAGAATATTCATTGTTCTGTTCTGCTGCTGCTCTCCATCTGCTGTCCTGCTATCACTCCCCATCCCCACTCTGACCCAACCGGTCCAGGCAGATGGCCTCCTTCCCTGAGCCTGGTTCTGTCCTGGTTCCTTCCCACTGTCGCTGACTGCTGCTCAGAGGAAGTCCAGAGGCTGCTCTGGATGGCTGGGTCCTCTGTTCAGACTCGTGAGGTCTTGTAGCTGACTGTGTTCAGGCTGTGAGGTGACGTGTGGTGAACTGCACTGGTCAAATAACATTGAATTTAAAAAAATTAGCAAGAAAATCATAAATCCAGTCTCTCTAAATATTTCATGAGATCAATCAAAAGAGGCTCCTTTACCTTGAATGTCTGTATCAGTGCAGCGCGTCATGGAGGAGAACCTGGTTCTGGGGAGACAGACAGAATCAGGACAGTAGCTGCTCATCACTTCATTTCAGCAGCTACACAATAATGAAGTAAATCATTATGTTGCCCAACATCTCAGCACGAGATGAGAAAAGCAATATTTCAATTTCAATTGAAGCCCAGGTTGACGTGGTAGCAGCCTTCAGCTCATCTGTATTTTTGGGTCAGGGTTCGGGTTGCCTCCTTCCTCTTGACAACACATCAAATGGAGTTCTGTGGGGTTCAGGTCAGGCCAGTCAAACACAGTAACTCCATGGTCAGTAAAGCCTCTGTTAATAGCTGTCTGTGATGAGCTGCTGCTGTGAAGGAAGCCAGCGTCTCCATGAAGTCTGTCAGCAAATGGGTCGGGGGTCTCCATGAAGAAACATATATAAATCTGTAGTTTAATATAAAGTGTTGGCAGTTCTCCACGACAAACCAAATCTGTGTTTGACTCCTTTTTAAAGCACATTTGCCAAAAAATCTTCTCCCAGCTGCTGACGTGTGAACAATCCGCACATTTCAAGGCTTTCAACGAGAGTGAAATCTGTACATGTGCTGCATATATATATATATATATATATAAAGAAGCTGTGAAGGTGGTTGAACAAACAAACAGACATCCAACGTGTGAAGGTGTTTTATTGGACCCTGATTCTTGTTAACTTACACGTGTGCTTCAGGAAATGTGCGTTTCATGGGTGTGTCTGTTGCATGTTGGCTGAGCAGCATTCAGGGCATTTAACTCGTGGTAAACCCAAGTCAGTGCAGCTTTCAGTTCCACCGGTGAGCTTCCTGCAGTCAGGCAGTGGGTTTGTTGTGTCACCACATTATTGACCATAAAGTGTCTTTTCTGGCTGCGCCTTCAAAGCTCTGCTCATGTTCTCAGTCAAAAACCCAAAGAAGAAGGGATCCAGTGGTTCTGGTTGAATCCAAAACAACATCAGCACAAAGAGTGGACAGTTTCAGGACAAATGATTGAACTAAATGAAGGCAGCGCTGGTCCAGAACCTGTGTGTAGAACAATAGAAGAGCTGCAGAATGAACCCAAATCTCACAGAATTTAAATTAAAATAGTAAAAAGCAGCTAAAATGTTTTTAAATGTTAAAAAGAAAAAGGGAAGTGGGGCAACAAACTCTTAGATAATTTTAAATAATTCAAAATGAACTAAAAAAAGGAAAAGATCTGTATCTTCATAATTCGTTTCGTCTTTTTTCATTCAGGTTACAGAGTGCTGTTGTGTGTTCTCGTGTTATTTTGTGTGTCCTTGTGGTTATTTTTGATGTCTGCTGGGCTGTTTTCTACCTAATAATAGTTCCGTATCGACTTGAGATAATGAGGTCCTGAGGCCTGCTCAGAATCCATCACTGGTGAGGCTTCAGTTCTCCAACGTTTCCTGAACCTGTTCTAGCTGGAGGTGGTTGTTGTGAAACGCTGCAGCTCCGTTGTGTAATTTTATGGTGATGGAGTTCAGATCAGCCTGTGTGTGTGTGTGTGTGTGTGTGTGTGTGTGTGTGTGTGTGTGTGTGTGTGTGTTTTCATGCTAAGAACAGACACTGAAACTGTTGTGTTCACTGCAATAGACGCTTTAATCGTAACAAATCTAACTGTACAGCTTAAACCTTAAACTCGACAGTTTAAACTGGACAGTGAACTGGAGCTCCTCCACAAAGTCAACTCAACACGTTCAACGCTTCACAGCAAACACATGCAGCTTCCATCGGTTTGGTGACGTCTGACTGAACGCACACATCAGTTCAAGCTTCAGCAGCAGAGTCACTCTGAGGATCACATTACGACGTCTGAACAAAGCTGGAACACGAAACAAATCATCTGCAGCCACCGTGTGGAACACATCCTGGTTAGGGTCAGGGTTAAGGGTAGGGTCAGGGTTAGGGGTTAGGGGTAGGGTTAGGATTAGGGTTCTGCTGTTGGATTAGGATGAGGATTAGGGTTCTGCTGTTGTCTCCTCAGTCCCATCACATGCTGCTCATCTTGTTCTCACATCAGGAAAAACTGCTGAGTCAGATTTTATCCAGCAGCTGCTCAGTGTCTCTGTATGAATCTGTAAAACACAGACAGTTTGCCACGGCCTTCTGAGGTCACGTTATTTTAGTCTCCACATTTTACAGATTCTTTCCTCACAAGCTCCTGAAGACCAGCTGATGTTTGTATGTTTGTTGTTGTTTAACCAAAAGTCCAACAGTTTGCAGAAAACGTCAGAGCGACTCAGTTCATTGATGATTCATCATGATTCTAGTTTCTCAAAGTTAAATGATCAACTTTGACATTAATATGCTCAACAGAAGACCGTCCAGGTGACAAACTCACCTGGTTTTAGGTAAACGTGACATCACACCTCTGTCCAGACTAATGATTGGTCTCTGAGCTGCTGTACCAACTGATGGAGACTAGTGAGGCGTTCAGGGAACATCTGGAAACTACAGCGTCTACTGATGCCTGTTGTGGTTCCTCAGAGCTGCACGACGTTATGTTGCAGAGAAACGTGAACCAGTGAAGGAACAGGAGACAGAAGCTTCTGGGAGTTCAGAGGGTTGAAGGATTTGAGATGAATGTTTCAGCAGGAACTTGAGTCTTCAGGAGAGAACCGGGTAACATTATGGGGTATCTATTAAATACAGGTGTGCTCACTTGTACCTGAGAACGTTCTCTGTGGCAGAAACCAGCTAAGTCCACGTCAGATAAGAGAAGTCAAACTCTGAGATGCTCGGTCGGTGTCAGTCTGCTGCTGGAGCTTCATCTGGATCAGCTCAACACTTTTAAGAAATGGCATAAAGTAATAAATAAAAGCAGCACTTTTATTCATGAGTGGAGTAGAACTAGGCTGCACTGAGACACTGTCAGAGAGCAGAATGAGTCTCAGCTCCTGGTGTCAACATCTGACAATAAAGTGGACTTCCTGTTTCACCTGTAAATACGTTTATACTCTAACTGGCCTCCTCGTCCACGACAACAATCTGCCTTCGTCTCAGGGTCAGGGTTAGCCGAACCTAATCCTAACCTAACCATAACCCTTCATCTCAGGGTCAGGGTCAGGGTTAGGGTTAGCCTAACCTAACCCAAACCTAACCCTAACCTAACCCTGTCTTTAGGCTTAGGATTAGGTCAGGGTTAGCCTAACCTAACTCTAACCTAACCCTGACCCTGTCTTTAGGCTTACGGCTACAAAACACGTTTTTCATGCACTGTGGTTTAGAGATTTGGGGCTATTTTGCTTCTATTCCATGTTTTCTTTCAGACAAAGTGAGACACAACAGCCGTCCTTCATCTCTACACCTTCATCCTCTGTCGGGCGTGGGGGGGCGGAGTCTATCCCAGCTGACTGAAGCAGCTCACCTGGACAGGTATCTGATCACACAAACTAATACTAATGGTTCATCCACCCAGTAAACAAAAAAATACACAATTAGTTGTTTAGTTGTTAGTCGTAAGTTGTAATCCACAAAATAATCACCTTCATGTCAATAAACAGCAAGGTTTGGATTTTCATGCCATACGTTAAAATCGTAGTTTCCATAAAAAGACCAAAAACAAACTGAACTCTGATCCAGAAATCTGCACTTCAGCAGCTCCTCATTCACTAAACATCCATCCGTTTGACATGCAAACTTTTTAAGTTCATGACTGTCATTTATAAAAGAAACAAAGCAACTTTTCTGACAGATTTAATGGTCTGTTTTAATTTTTATTTTTAAGTTCCAAGCTTGCAAAAAAGTCATGTACCATCCATCCATCCATTATCTATACACCGCTTCATCCTCACTGGGGTCATGGGGGGCGGAGCCTATCCCACCTGACTCAGGGTGAAGGCAGGTTCACCTGGACAGGTAACCAGTCTATCACAGGGCTACACTTAGAGACAGACAACCAAGCACACTCACATTCACACCTACGGACAATTTACAATCACCAATTAACCTCAGCATGTTTCTGGACTGTGGGAGGAAGCCGGAGAACCCGGAGAGAACCCACGCTGCACGGGGAGAACATGGAGACTCCACGCAGGAAGATCCCGGGTGTCCTCACCGGGACGCCAACCGGCGACCTTCTAGCTGTGAGGCCACGGTGCTAAGCACCGAGACACCTGCAGGCCGAATCACTAAACGTTCCAATTTTATTCATTTATATATTGTGAAAATAAAATGTTGAATGTTTCAGGTGTGAATGAGACATGAACACAATCAGATCCAGACGGGAATAAAAGTGAACATTTGGTGAAGAGCTGCTGGAGTGGAGACTTCTGGATCAGAGCTCAGCTTCAAACATATGTTTTGTTAAACTTCAGCTTCTGACTGACACAAGAACAACAAACCATCAATGTCCAACAGGTGAAGTTCAGACGAACATCTTCATGTGTAGTTTGGATGTTTTCTTTCCACTGCTCAGAAAGAGGACACGTCATAGAAGCAAAACATGCCCAGAAAGTTTGCTTTGGAGTGTCTCACAGCTGCAATAACTTAAAGAGCTTTTCATTTCTTTTCTATTTGTGGACCAGTCTTCACAGGAACCGGCATGAAAACGCTGAGTGCAGGTGAAGCTGTGTCTGAACTGGATTCTAACAGCAGCTTCTTCTGAGGCAGTTTATTTAAAGAACACATGAAGCTGCTTCACAACAGAAACAAAGAGACTGAGTGGATGTTGTCGCCCTGAACACACCAGAGTGTTGCAGGAGGACGTTCTGCGTTCTAAAGAGAAGACCTGGTGTGTTTCAGACCTGTGACGGTCTCTGGGTTCACTGATCGGAGGTCTGACGTCTGGCAGGTTTCTTCTAGAACACGTCGGCGTTAGGAGGCGGCGGGTTTGCTGTAGTCCTCCACACCTGTGATGGTGGCTTTGCAGAAGAAACAGTCCTTGTTGTTCATCAGATGCTGGTTGATGCAGGCTCTGCACAGAGGACAACACAGGAAACCACATCAACAGCAGAAACGCTGCGTCCCGTCTAAACCATGTTCAGCTGTCTGACCAGGGACTCAGGACTGTGAGCGTCTGATCTTGGCTGCTGTGGACCTCCCCTGTCCAGTAATTCCACCTTCATGGCTTCTTGTGCTGCAGGTGAAGCTCCGCCCCTCACCCTCACCTGAGCAGCTGTTTGGTTTCTGATGTCTGGATGTTGCCTCTCAGTGCTGCTTTAACTACATCAGACGTTGACGTTTGTTGAAGATCCTCTGGAGTTCTTCAGGAGAAACATTCTGTTGGTGGTTCTTTTCCTCTATCTGTTCTGGTTTTTTCTGTGGTTCTGAAAAAGCTCAGGTCAGAAGTGCTTCTCTTCTCCCTTTACATCATCACAAACCGGATTCACGAGGAAAAACTGAACCGCTACTCCTCACGTTGCAGAAGGCTCTGAAGAACTCTGCAGGATCTTCAACAAACACCAACATCTCTGAAGGCAGCACACAGAACCAACATCCAGACCCATCAGAACCTGGGATGAAGTCCTGAACTATTAAAGACAACCCAGACGAGCTGAAATGTCTGAGACTCCAGTTAGAAGTGAAACCTTTCTGATGAACAACAAACTGAACAAAGTCCTTCATTTGAAGTGTTTCCGTGGTTCTGGAAGAACCGCTGCTGCTCCACACCTTCATCCTGAACTCTTACAGCATGATGGAACTTTTGTTTTGACGAAGCTGTCGTTTCTTTTTGGAATCTGATGATGGATTCATGTCCAGAATCGCTCATTGTTTAGAAGTCAGATCTGGATTCTAGTGAAGGTTGAATGTTTCTGTTCAGCTCCAATCAAACCCTGTTCGGATCAAGACCTTCTGCGAGGACATGAACCCATCTCAGTCTCTCTTAAGAGCTTTTGAGTTCAAACATAAACACGACTGTTGAAGCGGTTTTGTATTTTTTTACCGTCTCCTTTTTCCGCTGCTGTGGAGGTTTTACTTCTCAGATAAACTCTGTTGTGGTTTAGTTTCATGTGAAGCCCACAAAAGTGAACCTCATATTTAATGACACTGGATGAAACTAGAACAGAACATAAAGCGCTGGTCCACTTGGTACCTCCACATCCTCCACCTCCTACTCAGTCAGCAGCTACATGGTGAACCGTCATCTAACAACTGTTCACTGTTAATTATCTTCTGAGTCCATCGATCAGCAGTTTGGGCTGTAAAAGGTCAGAAAATGGTGAAAATTGTGAATCAGAGTTTCCTCAAATGTCTTGTTTAGTCCAAAGAGCTTCAGTTTACGTCACAGAGGAAAGAAAGTATTCAGTGAAGCAGCTGCAGCCAGAAACCTACACAGCGAACATCGACATTGATAATCATCATCATTGATAATTACCTGCTGCAGCTCCAACATAAATGCAGCTCCTGTGAAGCTGACACACAGCTTCTCCTCCTGCAGCGTCTTCAGCTCAGCGACTACGAGTGTGTTCTCTGGTCACGCTGTGAGCTCATCGATCACACCGTGAACACAGAACACAGTGAGGCTGTCTGTGGATGAAATCAGTCTGAGTCCAGCCTTGGAGCTGCTTCAGTGACAGCGCTCTCAATCAGCACCACAGTGATCCATACCGCTGCTGAGTCGGCGCCAGCTCAGCTAAATCAAGCCTCAGGACAACATGAAATATGTACATATTATAAATCTGACCAAGGTCTGCAGCCCACGGAGTTTTCAGCCACCATCAGCACAAACCAAACAGCTGACTCACACACCTTTACCTGAGTGTGTGTGTTAACTATTCATACCTCAGCTGTGCAGCTCATGGTTACAGGACCGTCTGGGTCTGGTCTCATCCAACACCCTAACCCAGTCAGAACCGGTAAAACATAAAAACAATTGCATTCTCAACTTTCTGACGGGATTTGAACTGATCATGTCAACGACAGCCAATCTGAAGATCCAGATGTTCTAAAAATCTGTTCCTGTACATCCGTTACAACCATAACCTTCCTCCTCCTGGTTCTGACCCTGTAGAACCAGAACCTTCCTCCTCCTGGTTCTGATCCTGTAGAACCAGAACCTTCATCCTCCTGGTTCTGATCATGTAGAACCAGAACCTTCCTCCTCCTTGTTCTGATCCTCCACCACTGACCCAGCTGTGACCAACAGGAAACATCCAGAGAGCTTCAGGTGAACTGCAGCCAGAGTTTCCTCAGAGAGACTGAAGGAGAATCCATCCTACTGGATCAATGAATAGATGCAGCATGGATCAGAACCAGAGACCAGAGGAGCCAGTTGGTGGAGATACAGAACCTGGGCTTGGGACCACTGCTGATTATGGTCAGAGTGAGGTTTGGATTCAGGTTCAGGATTAGAGTCAGGTTTAGGCTTCCGTAGACCTAGCTTCAGGTTCGGGTCTGGGATTAAGAAATCCTTCATGTCACTGGCTGGCCTCACACAGAAGTGTACCTGTTGTGTACCTGTAGTTGTGTACCTGCTGTTGTGTACCTGTAGTTGTGTACCTG